AAATTAAAAAATAATAATAACAAATGGAATTAAATAAATAAATAATTCTTTAAAAACATAGTAGTGACATTCATAGTTTAAATCTTCCATAAATTTTATAATTATTTGCCAATTTCATTTCTCCACTACAAGCAAGAATAAACATGCATAAATAGATGTAAGTATATAGACATATTTATTTTACTTATAGTGTATATCAAATATATCTCTGTGTCTGTGTGTGTATTTAGTATATCTATAGCACAGATCCCAAATTGTCCTACTGGATTAAAATATACGTACATTTTAATTTTAAAAGATAGCAGATGAGTTGCCCAAAAGATTGTAACAAAACATATTTCCAACAACTGTGTAATAGTGTTTCTATATCTATAATTTCTTTAATTGTTTTTTTTGTCTGGAGAAATTTTTGCTATAGGGCGCGTGAGCTCGCCAGAGAGAGAGAGACAGGAAGTGAGAAATCACTTCCCAGGGGGATGGCCACACTGCAATCCCTTCTTCTTCATTCTCCTCTCAGGATCTTGCACATGCATGCACACATGCCCGCTGTGAGTTTAAGCCACTGGGTCAAGACTCGAACTGCGATCAACTACATGGGAGTCCTACAACATAACCATTATGCCAACTGCTGGTCCCTCTCTATCTATAATTTCTAAGTAGCACTAAATGTTACAAGAATTTCAAATCTTTAATAATCTATTGTATAAAAATAGTAAATAGGGATCACCAGATGGTGTGGTGGTTAAGGTGCTAGACTCCCACATGGTTGACTGCGGTTCAAATCTGGACCTGGTGGTTTCTTTTCTTGCTTTCCCTTTCTCTCTCTTTGTCTCTCTCTCTCTCTAGTCAAATTAAAAATAATAATAATGACAATAAATAAAATAAAATAAATTTTTTTTTAAAAAAGTAAACATCTCAGAGCCAGCAGGTGGTGTGGTGATTAGTCACAGTTCAAATCCCAGACTGAGGGGCTTAAGAATCATGCTGGCTACATGTGTGTGCATGCCCAAAATCCCAGGAGGAGAATGGAGGAAAAGGGACTGTGGCATAGCCATACCTCCTGGGGAGTGATTTCTCACTTTCCTTCTCTTTTTCTGTCTTTCTTTGAAAGCATGATCCCTATGGGGAGAGGGGGACAAAAAAGTAAACAATTTATTTTATTTTCTAGAGAGATACTTGCTATAAGGCACAGGTGCTTACTGGAAAGAGAGAGACAGAATGCAAGAAATCACCTTCCGGGGAGATGGCCATACCACCATCCCTTCTCTTCCTTCCTCCTCTTGGGATTTTGGCACACATTCAGAAACAACCAGTGTGAATTTTAAGCCACTGGGTCTGGGACTTGAACTGTGGTTGGCTACATGGGAGCCCAGCGATGTATACCTTCTGCTGGTCCTCCAACAACTTATTTCTTAAACAGCAGTTTTTTGAATACTGGAAATAAAAAACTGTTTTTCAAGAGATTTTTGCCATAGGGCATGTGTGCTCTTTGGAGAGAAAGCTAGAGACAGTGAGAGGGAAAATGAGCAATCACCCTTGCGACTAGACCTCAATGCCTTCTCCTCTTTTCTCCTCCTGGGATCTCAGGCACACATGCATATGTGCCCGGTGTGATTTTTAAGTCACCAGATCCAGTACTTGAACTATGGTCAGCCATGTGGGAAGTGAGTGCCATCTGCTGGTCCCAAGATCAAAACTTTTCAACTTATGTATTAGTTATTTCTATTTGCGCAGCAAATTGTTCATTGTAACCTTTGCCAATTTTTCTCTTGCGTTGTTACTTCTTAAAATTTTAGGATCTTGGGGCCGATAAGTGATGCAGTGATTAAAAGTGTTGGACTCCCAAATGGCCATCTGTGATTTGAGTCCCAGTCCTGGTGGCTTGCTTTCTCACTTCTACCCCCATGCTCCACTCTGTCCCTCTCTGTTCAAATTAAAACAAATAAATAAAGTTTAAAAAACCATTCTTTAAACAAAAATTTTAGGATCTTTTTGTATATCAGGCAAATGAGGCCTTGGTCTATTTTTCTTAAAGAAGATATTTTCTCCAAGGCTCTATTTTTTAATGGATATCTTGACTTTTATACAAACAAATGTTTACTTTTAACATATTCAAATATTGTTTCTTCTGCTGGTTTCTTATCGTATGATCCCTTTGTAAGGTAAACTTTAACATCTTTTAAAATGCTTATTCTTTTAAAAATTTAACTCAAGGTAGCCACATTGTAAATATATTGAAAAATGAGGCAGTAAAATGGAAAGGTATCGTGCTATCCAATCACCTTTAGCACTTTTGAGTATTTTTACTCAAAAGTATTTTGTTTTATTTCCTTGACTATATATATATATATATTTTTTTTTGAGAGGTTTTTTTTCTATAGAGCACATGTGCTCACTAGAAAGACAGAGAGTGACAGAGAGACAAAAAGTGAGAAATCACGTCCCAGGGGGGAAGACCATGCCTCAATCCCTTCTTCTCCATTCTCCTCCCAGGATCTTGGGCACTCATGCACACACACCCAGGGAGAGTTAAAGCTACCAGGTCTAGGACTCGAACTGCAGTCGACTACATGGGAGTCCAGTGATGTAGCCATTATGCCATCTACTGGTCCCATCCTTGACAATATTTTTAAAGCTAAGATTAATCCTATTTGAAATTTCATTTCTGCTTATAATCAATGATATGTTGATCACATACACAACTTCAAAAGCTTTTTGTATGCTCATATGATGTCAATTTGACCTAAGGAGTGGAATACGTCAACTTGTCATTTGCAAGTCTTAACACCAAACTACTTTTACTTGTTGTATTGTTACTTTTAAAAAAAGCTATAGGGGCCAGCAGATGGTGTGGTGGTTAAAGGCGCTGGATTCCCACATGGCTGACCATGGTTCGGGTCCTGGACCTCGTGGCTTGCTTTCGTCCTTTCCCTTTCTCTCTCTGCCTCTGTCTGATCAAATGAAATAATAATAATAATAACAAATGGAAATAAATAAATAATTCTTTGAAAAAATATATATAGAACAAAGATAAAGGCAAATCCATGGTGAATGTAAATATTTCAGGATATACAACCACGTAGAACTTGAAGATTTTACTTATTGCGTTTTCTTGCCTCATCAAGTTCTGTACATCAAAGTTTAAAATATCTTGAGTATTCATGCATGTTTTGGTACAGACATGAACCTAATGGTATTTTCAGATCTTTCCAGATCAGATATGCCTTTTCTCTCTTGAAAAAGTATTTTCAATAACTGTAATATCAGGGGGAGGGGGGTACTATACTAAGATAGGACTGTGATTCCAACATAAGGAAAATACTCTTTCCAAAATTTTGAGGCCATTGGGAAAGTCAGGGCAAATTTTTCTATGCAAAAAAGAGTCATGACTTTCCTGATGACCCAATGGATTGACAAGAGGTTTTTTCTTTCTTTCTTTCTTCATTTTTATTAACTATCATTCATCTTTCTCCTACCAGGTATATGGCTTGGAATTCTGGAAGGGATTGGAATATTGGCTGTGATCACCAATGCCTTTGTCACCGCCATCACTTCTGATTATATCCCTCGGTTTGTCTACGAGTACAAATATGGCCCCTGTGCAAATCACGTGAAAGCAAATGAAAAGTAAGGTTGACCTTTACACATTGTCATCCTGAGTTTTATGTTTGTAATTAAAATGGGAATTTACTGGGATGTCTTGTTCTGTGATCAGGAAGGTCAGTGGCTCTGATTATTGTGTTTATAATGTGTTTATTAGATAAAATCAAGTGAAGTAAAGAGAGAAGAGTGTCTTTGACAGCAAATAATTTTAGAGTCTCTCTGTTTTACTTGTGAATGCATCACTAGGATCAAAATGTTAAAAACACTAGAAACTATTTGAAGGTCAAATTCAAGATCTGGAGGAGAGCTTAAATACCATTCAGTGCACTTTTCTTTATGTGTGGATGGGGAAATGGGTGCACTTTGCTCAAATTAATTTGGAGAAAATTAGGTAACCACACTTGTTAAGCAAATTTCTGAAGGGAACAAAGGTAGTTTGTGGGGAAAATACAGTTAGGTGTATATAGCCAAGGTGCAGAAAATGTTGCCTTAGCTTAGTCTCCCATGTATTTTCTGGTAAAACTTAAATCCATACTTTAGAGTAAGGCTTCTCAACCTCTGCTCTGTTGACATGTTAGACCAACTAATTCTGTCTTGTGAGTGAGGGTGAAGGTATTGTCTTTGCACTGAAGAATGATTAGCAGCATCTTTGACTTCTACTGGGTAGATTCCAGTGGCAACTTTCTACTCCCCAAGTTGTGACAACCAAAATATCTGCTGGCATTGCCGGATGTCCACTGTCTAAACAAAATAACCCAGTTTAGAACTACTATTTTAGATGATAGAGGTTGTTCTTCTCTTCTCTTCTCTTCTCTTCTCTTCTCTTCTCTTCTCTTCTCTTTTCTTCTCTTCTCTTCTTTTCCTATCTTGCCTCATTGAAAGACAGTATTAGGGAAGAATGCAACCAGATTTGGGGAACAGAAAGAAATTAGAGGCACTTAAGTAGGAGTTATAAGGGCCATGGTGGTTAAGACGAGGGGCAGGGCTGTGATTCCAACATAAGGAAAATATTCTTTCCAAAATTATTGAATTATTGGGCTCTTGGGAAAGTCATGACTTCTTTTTTTTTTTTTTTTTTTTTGTTCTGTGAAAATTCTTTTTTTTTTTTTTTTTTTTTTTTTTTTTTTTTTCTGAGAGAGATTTTTGCTATAGGGCATGTGCACTCTCCAGAAAGACAGAGAGAGACAGAGAGAAAGCAAGAAATCATCCTCCGGGGGATGGCCACACCACAGTCCCTTCTCCTCCTTTCTCTTCTCAGGATCTTGGGCATGCATGCACACACGCCTGGCATGAGTTTAAGCCACCGGGTCCAAGACTCGAACCATGGTGGACTACATGGGAGTACAATGACATAGCTATTATGCCAACTGCTGGTCCCAGTCATGACATATTTTTCTACCCAAAAATGAGTCATGACTTTCCTAATGACCCAATAGATTGACTAGAAAGTCAATGGGTGTCAAGGTGGTTATGATGACTGGATTCTACATGGTCAACTGAGAGGTTTAAGTCCCAGACTATCAGCTCATATGACATGCCAGGCAGGTGTGTACATGTCTGAAATTCCAAAAGGAAAATGGAGAAGACGGGATCATGCCACAGCATGACCATCCCCCATAGGGAATGCGTTCTCACTTTCCGTCTTTCCCTCTGCCTCTCTCTAGTGAAAGCATGCATCCTCTAGCAAAATTATAAAAATAAAGTTAAAGAAAGAGTTATAGACCCAGCCATAGTGGCACATACTGCTCAGATACAGTGTTTCTTGAGCTGAGACCACAAGGGATTCTTGAGTTCCATTATTGATCCAACCCGAAGTCTGGGCACAGTGGCCCATGCATGGAGTTCTAGCAACTGAAGAGGCTGAGCTGGAGATCATTAGCTTAACACTGACTTGGGTAGCGCAGTGAAACCCTGTCCAGGAAGAACCAGAGGCTCAGTCTAAGTGGTGCAGTTTGTAGCATACTGGCCTGCAGTGCTGGAAGTCACATGACCAACCCTGGGCTTTACCACCAAGTTGGCCAAACAACAGGCCAGTCTCCTACGCTGTGGGTGCCCCAACTCCCCAGGAGCTCGAGAGTGGATCATGATGTGTTGGGACCCTGTTGAGAGCTCTGTGTTTCTCTCCTTTACAAGGATGGGAAGGAAGGAAGGAAGGAAGGAAGGAAGGAAGGAAGGAAGAAAAAAGTAAAAGAAACAAATAAAGGAGCCAGGCATGGTGGTGTGCTTGGTGTGCTCCTATAGGCCCTGATCAGAGGCTGAAGCAGAAAGATTGTAACCTGGTGAGACCTGTAAAAAACAATGATAATAATAATATTAAATTAAAAAACAGCAAAAACATGTAACAGACGCAAGTACGGAAAGTTATTGTGTAAAGTAGTATCTTTGACTTGCTTGACATCCAGTGTATTTATGCTTTGAGAACCAATGTTGGATGCTATAAAGATGTATAATGATTAAATGTAAATTTAAAAAATAAATTACCTAAAAAAAAAAAAAAAGGAAAAACAGGAGGTCAGCCTTGAGTGTGGAAGTACCAAGGTGATAGGAGAGGCTGCTACCCCTCCTTCCTCATGGGTGCCCTGGGGCATGGAGGCAGGCAGAGGGTGTTACAACAGGAGCCCAAGTCTAGCAGGAAAAGGACCCTCACTCTGCTGGTGAACTCACCCTTTTCATGTAGACAGCAACTGACCCCTTCTGAAGCACCTTTGTGAACATAAATGTCTCAACTTTTCAGAGAGACATAATGAAGACTGGTGTATATTTTGTTTTGTATTTTATGCTTCTTAGCATTATCAAGGGATTTTAACTTGGAGGCGGACACCTTAGGTTTGGGTATAACTTAGCTCTCTACTAAAAGGCACATAGTCAATCTGGTCTAGTTGGCTCATGAGAAAAGTGTTGATAGGCTTTAAGATTAAGAAATGATGTGTGAAATAACATTTTACAAATATAAAATTCTATATAAATATAAGATGGATTTAATATTAATAGTGAAAAACCAAAGAAGTTTCTTCTTCCCAATCCAAAATGGTCGAAATGGTCTAGAAGCAGATTTTAAGAGTTCAGAGCACACAGGCTCACTTGCCTGCTTGCTTCCTTATTAACATTATTAACTAATATCTTTACTGCCACCTAATGGCAGGTGAAAATGCGACTGGCTTAGGTGTCTGCTGTTTCCATTTCAGGGCCTGCTTTTCATGTGGAAAGCACCTGACCCCCTCTCCACATTCAATGACTAGGCGGGTAGTCTAATTTCAAGGGAAGCTAGAAGGGCCCCTGTGACATTGGCTCTGCACGTTCAGGGGACACCCCATTGTTTGACTTGTTTTTCCAGGTATGCTTAGTAGCTAAGTTGGAGTAGATTCATTCATACTGATCATTTTCAAAGAGCAAGGTGGCAGAAGGACAAGATGATATTAGAGAAGAGAATATGGGCACAAGAATAGTTGAAATTATATATTATGGGATCTAGGGTGGAAGAGAAGGGAAGGGAATGAAGCCAGTGCTTCACTTTAGGGTTAGAATGAGATAGACATTGGTTTGAATCCAAGCCAACAATTGTTTGTTCTAGGGCCATGGTTCTCAACCTATGATCTGTAGATCTCCTCCAGTCCCTGAAGTCAATACTATTTTCACAATCATACTAAGACATTATTTGCCTTTTATGGAACCAGCAGTTGGCGTAATGGCTATGTCGCTCGACTCCCATGTAGTCGACCACGGTTCAAGTCCCAGATCCGGTAGCTTAAATTCACTCCAGGAGTGTTTGCATGCATGCCCAAGATCCCAAGAGGAGAATAGAGGAGAAGGGATCACGATGTGACCATCCCCCTGGGTGGTGATTTTTCGCTTTCTATCTCTCTGTCTCTCTCTGTCTTTCTGGGGAGCATAAGTGTGCATAAAGCATTTTTATGACATAAAAATGATGGCCGTCTTACAGAGTACCTCTGTCATTGCTGGAGTTATAAAGTTAGCAAATTTTTTCTAATGTGAAGTAATGATTGACAGATTTGATTATCCAGATTTGTATCATTTGCCAGCCAATTTTTTGTAGAATGCACAAAACTAGCCTGTCATCTAAAGGAAAATTATTGACAATATTTGTTGTCTTTTATAAAGATCAAATTTTGAAGTAAAAATTTTAATTTTTGATAACTAATATTTGCTACCGTGAGTTGGAAAGCTTTGAAAGACATTCAGAGTGTCTCTTTTTTCCTAATGAAAATAAATGGTAATATTAACAATAGTGATTTTTTTTCCACAAGTGTTTTATCTATTTTTGAAATGTGGAAGGTTTACATAATTCAAAGAAGAAATAGTTTCCAATGACCAGAGTTAGATATTACAAATTATGCAGGGATAAAAGATGAATTTAAAGTACAAGAAAAATCTCTGGATTTTAGTGTAACAACATACAAACTTTATTTATATGGTTTAAGATTCCACATTGCAGCCAAACTTTAAGATGCTTTCACATGTAGAGCTTTGGTGTGATAACAATGAAAAATACCCACGATTATCTGAAATGTTATCAAAATAATCCTTTTTTTTTCTAACTAGTTAACTCTATGAGTTAACTACCTCTTCAACCAAAACAATGGATTGCAACAAATTTAGTGTAGAAACAGATATGTGAATCTAGTGTTTTTATTAAAATAGACATTAGAGGAATTTGTGAACATGTAAATAGTGTCATTTTTCTCATTACTTTTTTTCTTCTGCAAAACATAGGTATTTTTCTTAACAGTGTGTCATTTATATTCTTACAATGAATTCAATAGTTATTTTTCAAGATTAAATATTTTCTAAATTTCTCAGTTTTAATTTCTGCTAGGATAAAATATCAGTAATTAACCCCTATAGAAAAAGCTCTTTCAGCCCCTCCCTCATTTTTTAAAGGTCTGGAGATCAAAACTTTTAAGAATTGTAAGCCTAGCAAAAGTTACTTAGTTTCTCTGAACTTTAGTTCTTTCTTTTAAATGATATTGATAATAAATATTTATGTTTCAAGGTTATTTTTTTTT